GAAACCCAAAAGGGCAAATCTAACACGTTGCTGTGCTGCGGGGCTGTTCTGCCATACCGTGGGCATCAAAGAACTCCTCCTCGGAGCTGTTCTCGGAGTCACGGGCAATGTTCTGCATCCGCCATTCAGACAGGCTCTGAGGAGACACCCCACCTGCCAGCAGCACGGGGTCAGCACTGAAGGCAGCGAGCCCCTACTCGTGCCCAACAGTACTGCTCATGCACCCGGAGCCACCCAGACCTTTGGGACATCCAAAGCCACCCTCTGGGGTAGGAAAGAATGGTCCTGATGCACTTCTGCCAGAGAACAGCAGCAGCCACAGGACCCAGGGGTCCCGCATTCCTCCCATTCTCACCTCCATGCTGAGAAGAGTAGGAAGAACGTGAAGATGTGGACCACTGCTTGGCAAAGCTATCATCAGGGGAGATGTCAGCAGTCCCCTGAGCCTCAGTGCCCTCCTGTCCGCTGGCACCTCCTGGCTCTGGACGCCCCTCAGAGCTGGGCCCAGCAGTGGAGGGCTCCTCAGCCTCACCACACTTGGCCATTTTCTGTGCCAGCATCCGCGCCGTCTCCTCCTCCAGCTGCCGGATGTCCTCCATGGTCAGGTCAGTCCACTCATCCTGCCAGCACCAAGCCTGGCGGTGGGCACGCAGCATCACTTTGCGCAAGCCTGAAGCAGGGGGAGTGAGTAAGGCATCGCCCCCAAAAACCCACTGTCCCCACAGGGCTCGGACTCACCACCATCGCCCCACGCTCACCAACATCGTGGATGAACTGCTCAATCTTGGACTGCATCCCCCAGTAGCGGAACTCCACCTTGCACAGCTTGTAGGCACACATCAGCGGCCCGCTGCTGGCTGCCTCCAGCCAGTTATCCCCCAGTGGGCCCCGGCCAGTCTTGGCTGAGCGGTAGAGTTTGGGGTCCTCCTCGGGTTTATATTCCCCAGGGGATATGGGGTCACGCACAATGTCGATGGTGTCTGGGGTAGAAGGAAAAAAGGGTGAGGAATAAGGCTGGCAGCACTCTATGAATCATTTCCACACACCGTGTGCTCAAAGATGGGACACCTCTCTGTCCCCTTGAGCCTCTGGGGACTGTCCTCACACTGGTACCAGACCCGCCGCCTCAAGAAGCAGCAGCAAGAGGTGGAGGCAGGAGCGGGGGTGGCCAGGCTAAGAGCCGGGCTGACACACATAGGCGCATTAGCGTGGGGATTTGGCAGCTGGAGAACGGCAGCAGTGACCCCAGGGGCATGGGGGGGTGTGCCGAGGACAAGGCCAAACAAGGCGGCTCAGAATTCTGCTCACTGCCTGCTGGTGATGGCGGTAGGGACAAAATTTGTCCCCTGCCTTGGCTGTGCCACCAGCGTCCCAGCCGGACATCCCCAATGCTGCGAGAGCCAATGAGAGAAATAGGTCAGATGAATCATTTCCTCCGAGTGCTTATTTTAGGCCTCCATTTTAGGAGTAGAGCATGACGCGCTGCGCTCCAGCGCCCAAAACAACCGTGTCGACACTGCCAGGAATGGGAACAGGCAGCAACGGGGGACAAACATGTCCCTGGGGGGAACGGTCTGCCCCAGGCACCCAGCACAGGGTGGTCGGGAACGGGGAATGACACTGTGCAAAGCCCTGGGGGGCAGGAGAAGCAGAAGACAAAATGGGGACACAATTCCCTAGCTCTCTGTCTCCAGCTGATCCACAGGACTGTGCAGGGAGCTCAAGGTATGGACACTTTCCCCTACAAGGATAACTTAACCTGTCCCTAAAGCACAAGGTTAGCAGAAAAAGCCCCGGATCCTGCCTCATGCCCCTGCTGCACGCACCCAAGATCCTCTGCCTCTTCTCAGCAGCACTCAAATTGAAGATATTGGTCTGCTGGCCAGCATCTGGCCGGTAGTACGTCTCAATTTCGATAGAGAACTTCTCCACAAAGGGACAGGTGTACCTACAGGAAGCACGGGGATTAGGCTGAGCCCAGTGGGCAGCCCCCAACCTACATTCCCATAGAGTCCCACCTGGTGCGGGTGTAAGGGTACGCGTTCCAGGACTCCTCCTCCACCTGCAGTGCAGCTTTGGGCAGCAGGGCCCGAAACCAGCTGGGGATGTGGGAGCCCACATGGTAGATCTTGTGGGTATACTGTCCACTGCCACCGGGGCCATCGCTGTAGGGGCGGTTGGCCAGGATCTCCACCCCACTGCCCTCGCCGCTTGATTCCTCCCGGCTTTTCTTCTGCAGGGTGAGGATGGGCTGAGCCCTGGCACCCCAAATCCTGTCATCTTGCCAGCTCCAGGTCCCCCCCACCCCACCTCCCCTGCAGCCCCTTCCTCAGCCCCAAATCCCTGCACCCCCACCTCAGCCCCATAGGTATTCCCAAGAGCCCCACTTCAGTCTGCACTCTGAGAAACAGGCTCAGCCCCGTGCCTCCACACTCCATTTTCACAACAACTCCATACCCCAAACCCCCCCAACCCCACACTCTCCTCACACCCCAATCCCCAGCCCCACATTCCTCCACCCTGCAGGCTCCACGCTGCCCTCATACCCCTATACCCTAAACCCCCACCACCTCAGATCTCAAACCCCACAACATCTGACCCCCACCCCCACACCCCGGCACCCCCCCATACCCCTCAGCCCCAACCACCCCCCCAAGCCCTAGACGCCCCTACTCTCCCAGATCCCACACAACTCCCTGGACGCCATACAAACCCCAAGCTCCATATTATCCACAAACAGTCCCTCCAGCTCTGAATCCCCCGACCCCCACTCTCAGCCCCATGTTCCCGTAGTTCCCAGGACTCCATACAACCCCCCCCCAGGACCCCCACAGCCCTGCCCCTCTCTTTCAGCCTCATCCTCCTGCACTCCCCCAGACCCCATAAGACGCCTCCACACCCCAAACAGTCCCCCAGACCGTCGCCACCGTCCCCCATATCCCTCAGCCTCGAACCCCCCGATCTCCACCCTCAGCCCCACGCTCCTGCATCCCCCGGCTCCACACGCGATCCCCGAGCCCGCACAAACCCCACACGACCCCCTCCCCAGGCCCTTCGCGACCCCCTCGGGCCGCGGCTCAGGCCCCAGCCGCACCTGGATCATGTAGAGCTGCGCTACCTGGTACTCCTCCAGGCTCATGGGCAGCAGGATGTGGTACTCCTTGATCAGCATGGCGCCGGGTTTGGGGGAAGGGGCGAGGGGGCTCCGCGGCCCGCCGCCGTTAACCCGGCCCCGGCCCGGCCCGCTTCGGCCGGGCCCTCCCCGCTGCCATAGCAACGCGCCCCCCGCCCGCTCGGCCGCGCGCTCGGCTCCCTTCGGCTCTTTCCGTAACCCTTCGGCTCCTTTCGGTTCCTTTCGGCTGCGCTCAGCCCCTTCCGAACCTGCGCCGCTCTGAGCCGGCCCCGCGTTTTGTGACGTCACGGCGTGGGGGGCGCCCGCTGACGTCAGGAGGTGGTACAGCGGGGGGGGGGTGTGACATCAGAGGGGACGTCAGAAGCGGGGGGGCGGCGGACCGGGAAATTAAAACGGAGCGGTATATTTGGGGAAATTCGGGTTATTCTTTTTCTTTTCTGGAAGGAGCATTTTCTTTAAGGGGGGGATGCGACACGTCTTTTATTTATAAAAGCTGGAAGGTTGGGGGAGGGGGGGGAGCCCCGGGGGTGGCCCCGCTCGGGGGGAGCCACCGGCGGGGCTCGGGGGGGTGGGGGGCGGCTGTCACGTGCGGGCGTTGCGCTCTGTCTCGGCCAAGCACTCCCGCACCAGCGCCCGCGCGTGGATGATCCCTGAAGGGGGGGGACGACATGAAGTAAGGCACTGAGGTTCGGGCTGGGGGGGAGGGTTGGTACACAGAGGGCCACCCCCCGGCTCTGTACCCCGCTTGAGTCGCTCCATGGCGCTCTTGCTGCCGGCGTAGGTGGGCCGGATCTCCCTGCCCATCTCCTCGATGACAGAGAGAAGGTCGCTGTAGGTGCTCTGCGAGCCCGGCGCGCCGGGCGGCTTCATGGCCTGACAGGGGAGGCACGGGGGGAGGGAAGGCGGAGGACAAGTGGGGGCTCAGCGTTGCCCCACACCGCCCTCCCCTCGTCTGCCCCTGCCCCCCGGCCTCACCTGCACATAGCCCATGGAGGGCGGCCCGAAGTCGTTGAAGAGTGGGCGGAAGGCAGACGGCGAGGGGACGCTGGGAGCTGCGGGGAGCGACACCGGATCCGGCCCTCCTTCAGACTGGGTCCAGCCCTCCTCCGGGCCCCGTCCTCCTCCTCAGGCCCTGTCATCCCCTCAAGCCCGGCTCTCCTCAGGCCCTGCGCCCCGCTCAGGCCGCCCCCAGGCGCCGTCCCTTCCCCCCCTCAGCCCCTGACTCCCCGCGTCCCCTCCTCAATCCGCGTCCCCCCCTCCACGCCCCGCTCAGGCCCCGCCGCCCCCCTCAGGCCTCGTGCCTTTCCTTAAGTCCCCTTCTTCCCCCTCCCCCGCTCTACCCCCGGTTCGCCGCCCCCCGGGGGCTCCTCTCACCGGCGGCCGTGGCGGCGGGCCCCGGGGCGGGGCTGGCGCTGGGGGCGGGCGCGATGGGTTTGTAGGACATCCCCGCACCGCGCCGAGCGGCAATCCGTCCCGAGCGGCGGCCGCCGTGTGGGGAAGACGGAAGCGAGCGGCCGAGCGGGGCGCCCCCCTCCCGCCTCCTAACTGCTGATTGGCCGAGCGGCGCGGTCCGGCGGCGCCGATTGGTCGGCGGCCCGAAAGGAGCCGGCCTGCGCTCTCGGCGGGGCGCGGCGATGACGTCACGACCCGCACGCCGCCAATACGCAAACACGGCGCGCCGTTCCCTCGT